CAATAGAGCCTGGCGCGATCATTTTCGAGCACGGCTTCCGGCAAGTACTTGTAATACGGCAATTTCCGATCCACGAGACCGTATTTCAGAGCGAGCTCCTGGTGTAGAATTCTGGCTACTAGGTTGTGCCTGTGCAAGTACTCAGAGTTAGAAAGCGCCGAACAACCGGAGATAACATGCCTAAGTGACTCACCGGGATGGCGACAAGCTCGACAGATGTCGACGGTGCCATCCTTTAGGATGTATCTCCGATAGTTGTTGGTCTTAATAACCTGATCCTGTACTGCACAGACAAAACCCTCGGATTCCCCGAAGAGATCACGAAAGCGTAGCCAGTGGAGGGAGGCTACTGTGTCTACGAAAGGCTCATGTAGAGCCTTGTAGAACCTTCCGTGGAGCTCCTTCTCCTTCCATACGGTCTCCCGTTCGGAAATGCTCTGCACTGCCGGGTATTGCCATTGCTCGTTGGCTAAGGATAGAGGGGTAAGTCCTTTATCACAAGAAATGACGTCCTTATAGAATGGATCATCCGATCTCGCCAGGAAGTAATCACGGAGGCTGCACACTTCGCGATTATGCATGGTGAGCGCGCTCAAGAAGCCACGACCACCATGCTTCCGCGGCAAGTACAGCCTCATTACCGACGATCTCGGATGATGCATCCTATGGGACGTCATTGTAGTGCGGACTTTTCTATCCAGGGCGTTAAGTTCAGTCTGAGTCCACCTGAGTATACCAAAGGTATACATGAGGACAGGCATGACCCAGCCGTTATATGCGTGTGCCTTATTCACACCGGACAAAAGGCTGTTAAGCACTTTGGTCAAGCGTGCATAAAACACGTCGCAAACTGACTGTTTCATACCAGTCTCATCGATACCGATGTTTTGTGACATACCCAGGTATCGGTATGTTTCAGCCTCGGAAAGGGTCCTTAAGTTGACGGGCATAGATAAGTCTACGCCCTCAGAGTTAGCAACCCTTCCCCTTTCAACATGGAGGACCGCACACTTATCCGTCCCCAGGTCCATTCCAATGGAATTGCTAAATTCACACGTGATGTTTAGCAATTCCATAAGATGGGAGCGACTGGAGGCGAATAACTTGAGGTCATCCATATAGAAAAGGTGGGTCACTTTTGTCCCTCCTTTCCGTAGCTGAAATCCCCTCCCGGAGCCCTCCAGTAAGGTACTGAGAGGGTTCAGAGAGAGGCAGAACCAGATTGGACTCAGACAATCGCCCTGGAAGATACCCCTTCTTATCCTTATGTGGTTCTCCGCAGCCATCATCCGCTCGCCCAGATGACAAAGGATCGTACTCCACTGCCCCATACACTGCTCGAGGAAGTCTCTAACTGTACAGTCTATCTTGTACAGCTCGAGGACTCTCTTTAGCCATGTATGGGGCACCGAGTCGAATGCCTTTCTGTAGTCTATCCAGGTGGCGGAGAAGTTCCGACGGTTGCGTTTCACCACTTTGCCAATGACCGCGTCAATGAGGAGTGGTTCCTTGGTTCCACGACCACCGCCCCGACATCCATTTTGAGCGCGCGACATCACCTGATTTGAGTCCAGGTGACAAGTGATTCTCGCGCTCAAAATGGATGTTAGTGTCTTGTATATGGTCGGTAGACACGTGATGGGGCGGTATTTGCTCGGGTCTGTGGTACCCTGGTCTTTAGGAACCAAATGAGTGATCCCAGTAGTGAAGAGGCTTGGGAGCGACTTCTGGTTGAGAGCCTCTTGAAACTGTCGGGCGAGCACAGAGTGACACACCATGAACCCCTTCAGCCAGTAGTGATGCAGCCCGTCAAGCCCCGGACTTTTCCAGTTCGGGGCCCTACGGACCGCCTCAGCTACGTCATCCGGCGTTATGATGACGGGGTCCATGGGCGTAATACCCGCACACTGACTCGCCACAACTTCCGTCCAAGGGCCCTCGCTGTGGTTTACGGGCTCTGACCACAGGCCGCGCCAGAATGCTACAGTGTCGGCCTGATTCGGTGCTGGACCCGTTCCACTTACCATTGGTCGCTCCAATGATTCATAGAGCCTCTTCTGATCACTCTGGAAGAGACGATTCTGGTTGAACCGTGTCGACCTCTCGGTATATCGCCGAATCCGCTTTCCCCAAGCAGCGATTCTCTGCTTCAGATCATCTATGCGCTCCGTCAGTTTTTGCGTTATATCCGGCTGGGACAAACTGACATTTGTCCCAGCAAACGCCATTCTTGGCCTGTTGTTGCCTGATCTGAAGCATATCAGTCTGCCGATGAGAGCTCTAGCCTTTGCGATACGTTCCTCAATTCTTCTTCTCCATGCTGGGATAGCGCTACTATGGCCAGTAGCGCGTCCAGCCGTGGAAACCTTGGCGCCTATGATACGGCAGACTGCCAGCGCGGCGCCAAAAAGAATTGAGTCCGTCTCGCAAAGGTCCCGGCTGGCTTCCAAATAGGTAACCAGCATTGGGTTCAGAGCCCTCACGATAGCCCGATTCCGCTTGCTTAGGGCTATGCGGGGAAGTCGCGGTCGATTTTCGAGAGGCGTACTGCGCGTTTCCACAATCGCCTCTTCCAATATACTCCTCATATGCTCTAATTCCAGTTCCTGGGCGACTGCTCCATCATCGTTTGAATCAACCACCACTGGGGTATTCACGGCGGCATCCACGTTCGCGGGTTGCTCTACCATTTGTGGCGCCGCATCCTCAGCCGTAGCATTCTCATCCGACGAGGGAACAGCCTCACGTCGTAGCCGTTCGAGTTCGGCGACATCAAATATATTTGAGCGCAAGATATACCGAACTCAGCAAAAAGACGATGCATCCTAGCCCGATACGCCAAACATCCAGTTTCTTCCCCTTTTACCCTAAAGTACGCCCGCAGTGCGTTTGCATTCATTTCTTGTGACCAACGCATGCGACGTGCTCCACCAGCGGCGGGTGCCGCTTGCTGAGTCCGAGAAGACCCAGCCGACACCAAGCCTTCTGGTGGGGATGATGGATGCGGAGGGCTGGTAGGTGACCGTGCAGCTCCTCGCGCTCGGCTGGCGGCCCGCATGCTGCCGCGTCCAGCGCCAGCTCCAGACGCGCCCCGGCGACCCCCAGGCAGCGGCCCTTTGCGCACTATCTTTTTATCCATCATCCATTATTTGGGCGTCCATTAACGGGAGACGCCCAGGCCCGGCACCGTTTCGTGTGTAGCCATAAGCACAAACGGGCCTCTGCACCCTAAATTCTGCCGCGGCACGGCGCTCACACCTCTCGCAAGGCGCTGACTGACTGCGTTGACGTAGCAGTTTTGTCACTTAACTGTTACGTCAGCGGGCGATGAGGTCGTCAATTCCCTACGCCTTTTTATTATTATTATTATATATGAAATGGTGTTAAAATTTTTTTTAGTCTGTATTGGGTTTCATAATTAGTTCGAAATCGGATTCTACTCGTAGTTTCTATAAAGCCCTAATTTTTATGCAATTAATGAAATTTAACCTTTATGAGCAATGTTTATGAATTCCAACCACTAAATTCCACCATTCGACCATTGCGAAATTCACAATACATATTATTCACGCTATTTGAATACTTGAGCGGACCGTTCCAGTGCGATTTACCAAAATGTTTATTCCTCGCGCGTCTTCTTTGTGGAAATATCTCTCATCGAACATTCAAGTAATGAGCCTATTCCTATTTTAACAACCCTGCAACGCACTTCCAGTTTCCCTGGTATTGCAGTTGTTCATGGGGGGCGTTATTCACTTACCATCATGTGAGTAGCAGTAGCTCGATTGCACACTTCTATCAAAAATATTTTATTTTCTACATAACTATGAACCTAAGAGAGATTAAATATTTTAACACTGTCTATAAAATGTAGCAAAATTTTGGCTCACTATAAACTTATTGAAAAGAAAACAAACGTTATGTTACACGAAAAAGTGGCTTTGATCCGCGTCGTACAATGTGCTTCCTGTCTACCACTGACGTATGGACGTACAACTCTTTGTGTTGCGATGCTCTTTACACTAACAATAAATTGAGCGCGTGGAAAAATTACTTTATATTTGCGAATATTTTTGCTTTATGTTGAAGTCTTTACTACGTAAAAAAAGAGCTCTGTTTGTGGCATATTTCTGCCGCAAAACTACACTGCTGATCATGAGATCCCGGGTTCGAATTCCGGTTCGAGACAAAAAAGCAATTATTGACTTCCGTCACACAAGGTACCTCCCCTCGCCACCCCCCATCAACCCTCCTTCTTCTATAAAAAAAAAAAGAATTTCTCAGTAGTCGCCCGGAGTCAGGAAGTTGGCGGTGTCTCACCCCAGTGCCTCGGAAAGCACGTAAAGCCGTAGGTCCTACTCCTGATCTCTCGTCGATCGTGTCGGTTTACCGTCCCATCGGATTATGACCTGGGAAGTTATACCATTTGAAAAAAAAAACAATTGTCGAAATCGGTTCAGAAGTCTTCTAGTAATCGGTGAATATATATATATATATATATATATATATATATATATATATATATATATATATATATATATATATATAAAAGAAGGTTCTGACGAATTGATAACCTCCTTTTTTTGAAGTCAGTTGATAAATCAAATTAAAAAAATCAAGGACCATCTTGTTATGCTTTCATCGCTCTTTTGTAAAAGTTAGCTATATTCCTTACTCGGTTTTGATACAGGGAAGCATACATATCCTACGTGCTTGATAAAATAGTCCTTGGCGTCGGCGCTAGGATCCAATAGGACACACACACACACACACAGAGAGCGGGCGTTGTGTTGTTGTTGTTGTTGATAGCTTCGAATAATCCGTAGTTGTCGAGTAGATTTCCGCAAAGAAGAAATCATCAACATGAACGAAATTATTCACAGTTTCAGGAATTCACATTAAAGGCACTCTAAACCGGTGTTAACTGTGTTTACTAAAACTTTTATCATGTTAGGAAATGTAGTTATCAAAACGCATGGAGATACGTTGCTTTAAAAATCAAAAGTATAATGCGCTTTCGCCACACAAGTAGCTGTTTACACAGATATACTTTCACGTCTTAATCTCGAGTACTCGTAAAGCCGCGTATTGTTGCGTAGAAAGTGACGTGTGACTCTAAACTGTTCACCTCACTAGACTCATTGAGAGAACGTCCTTACGGATTTGCGCACAGCCGGCGATTAAGTTTCATTTGTAAAGTCCAACTGTAGTAAGCTCCAAGAGCTTTCAGCTTGGAACACAATTGACAACTTTTCCTTTTGCTCGTTGTAAATCATCAGAACATCAATATACAGAGTCTTAAGGTTTATCTCATAAATAATTGATTATTCGTTTTCTCAGTCAAGGAAAGTGTGGTCATGTTTTGATTTGAACAGCAAAAACGTGTTTATGTATGTATCTTAGAGCGTTGCCTTGTGGATTCAATATCTATGCAATTGGTACAAATACATACCATGTCTTGATACTGGTCACTCATGTGTGCACACATCGAAAGTTCACCAGTGTTTAAAATAATGTATACATGACTACCCGCATATTTGACAATATTAGCAAAATACCGCACTGTCAGTTTTTTGACAAGTGTCAAAGAGCTCAAACCTCTCTTTTTCTTGGATTCTCCCGATTGTTTGTTGCGTCAGTCATAAATAGTATACTACGATATGGTCAATTATGTCCACGCTTATGTTTATTGAGTTTCTGTAAATAATTTTCCATTTTAAATCTAAAGAATATTGTCGAAAATTTTTAATGACGGTAAGTGTAGTCCGTTAGAGGAATAAAGGAAAGAAATGTATGCCATTAAATATTTATAATTTGTGGGAAACCAACATTTCTAATGCATAGTTTCCCTACACATGTTTAATATTAACAAGACATGTTATTGATCGGCATTAATAAAATTTATAAAAGTCTCTAATGACTTTAAAGTAGGTATTTCCTTTTACTCGTGTTTCTCAACATAGGATTATGACGTTAAATAATTTAATATATATCATAATACTATAAAATAAGGTAATGAGATTCCAAAAACATTTATTAAACTTTATAAGGTTCTGTAAATATGAAGTGGTTTCACACGGTAATAAATTCTGAATTACGCACCGCCGTCGATTAATGTGGACGCCTCCTTAACCTGCAGAATGCACTTTGTTATTGTTAAGTATTTGTCTTGCAATAAAAATAGTCCCGATCGCGTAATCTTCATTGTTTCTATAATTGGTGATCTATTATTTATAGTTGCAGTAGGTGTTACATTTTGCATTGGTCGTTATGTAATTTCTTGGTCGTTTGTTTGTCTCACAGTGGTAGTCGTTAAAGCTATTGTTGTTGCTGAAGAATTAGGTCTTTTGTCGTCACTTGGTTACTTTTGTTCTATTGAAAAGTAATATATTTATTGTAAGCCATTTCGTTTTGGATGTTGGAATTTTATTTTACGAAACTTGTAGTCTGTTGAATTATGATTTAAATTAGTTTTTTTAACAGTAGATACACCTTACAAAAAATGTTTACCATAAATAATCTTAAAACATAAAAAAGACTTAAACGGGTTTATATTCTTTATATTCTTTTTTCTATCTAAAATGGCAAGGAAACCCTTAATACGTTTCAATTCAAAAAAGTAAAAATAAATTATATTTTTACCAGAGAGACGTGATGAAAGTGACGAGTCCCTCTACGAATCGGCTGATTGTCAAAGTGACGCAATTTCTGCAAGCGACGATGCCTTGCCCAGGCTCAGCAAAACACCGACAATGAGCAAAGAGTCTCTCAAACTAGTCATCACTGACGAGGAAGTGGATTTACGGTCTAAGAGAGGACATCGTAAAACGATGTCACTATCGAATCCTTTAGAAATGGTCAAGAGTTTAGGTGACGAGTGGTTCGACCACACTAAAAAAGACTTAGATAAAAACTTTGATAAAAAGAAGTCGAGAGAGTCTCTTTGGAGTGAAGAGGATAGAGATTCTATCCATGGATCCACATTGAAACTGGATCAGATTAGAAATGGCAGTAAAAAAGATGATAAAAGCAATCCCGCTAACAGAAAAGGGAGTTCAACAGATATTTCCAAACCGAGAAAAGGGAGTAAGGGTTCATCGGTAAGCGCATTAAATTTCCTCAGAAGAAAGAAGACGCCGACTTCTTCCAAATCAGTAGAAGCTGTAATGGAAATTGCTGATAGAATTTCTACCATTGAAGAGATTCTTAACTATACTAAATTCTTCTTGGATGAAGAGAAGCGACATTCGTCTATCTGTGGCAGCAAACCGATTGTAGAAACAGATTCTGATGACGAACCGCGCCCGCCCAAATTAGTTAGTGAACATAGACGACGATTGAGTCGACAGACATCAAGAAGTAAAAGCAAGGTTAGAGGAAAGAGTCAGTCATTGAAAGTTAATACGTTAAGGAAATCTCATAGTGGAACATTGAAGAAAGGAAAGAAGAAGAGTGTGAAGACTCCTTCAGCTGGTAGAAGCAGACAGGCCAGTATCGTTGATACGCCTCCCATACCTAAGAAGAATGAGTCCGACACTTCCAAGCAACATTCTTGGCTCTTTAGTGCGTCTACATACAGAGGTGAGTTTCTCTTTTTATATATTTTGCGAAATTGTGTATTTTATGAATGCCCTCATTTCACAACACAGAAAGGCCCGTTTGTAAATCCAGGAAACGTGCCTTTATGTTG